AAGTAGGCCAGGCCTAACATCATTACCCAGGATTCCGTTACTGTAGCCATTTTATTGCTGACATGTTTAGTAGGCCAGGCCTAACATCATCACCCAGGATTCCGTTACTGTAGCCGTTTTATTGCTGACATGTTTTAGTAGGCCAGGCCTAACATCATCACCCAGGATTCCGTTACTGTAGCCATTTTATTGCTGACATGTTTTAGTAGGCCAGGCCTTACATCATCACCCAGGTTTCCGTTACTGTAGCCGTTTTATTGCTGACATGTTTAGTAGGCCAGGCCTAACATCATCACCCAGGATTCCGTTACTGTAGCCGTTTTACTGTTGACATGTTTAGTAGGCCAGGCCTTACATCATCGGCCAGGATTCCGTTACTGTAGCCGTTTGACTGTTGACATGTTTTAGTAGGCCAGGCCTAACACCGTCACCAAGGATTCCGTTACTGTAGCCGTTTTATTGCTGACATGTTTTAGTAGGCCAGGCCTTACATCATCACCCAGGTTTCCGTTACTGTAGCCGTTTTATTGCTGACATGTTTTAGTAGGCCAGGCCTAACATCATTACCCAGGATTCCATTACTGTAGCCATTTTATTGCCGACATGTTTTAGTAGGCCAGGCCTAACATCATCACCCAGAATTCCGTTACTGTAGCCATTTTATTGCTGACATGTTTTAGTAGGCCAGGCCTAACATCATCACCCATGATTCCGATACTGTAGCCGTTTAATTGCTGACATGTTTTAGTAGGCCAGGCCTAACATCATCAGAACCTTCTGTTGATGCTCCTTAGTTGTAGACTTTATTGTATGTATTACTCTTGGGTGGAGCTCTGTTAGAATGTCCTTGTGGTATCCACCTCGGATTCCTGTACCAGACAGACCACAACCTGTAGGACGTTGGATTTTTGTTAGAATGTCCTTGTGGTATCCACCTCTGATTCCTGTACCAGACAGACCACAACCTGTAGGACGTTGGATTTTTGTTAGAATGTCCTTGTGGTATCCACCTCGGATTCCTGCACCAGACAGACCACAGCCTGTAGGACGTTGGAGCTCTGTTAGAATGTCCTTGTGGTATCCACCTCCGATTCCTGTACCTGACAGACCACAGCCTGTAGGACGTTGGAGCTCTGTTAGAATATCCTTGTGGTAGCCACCTCTGATTCCTGTACCAGACAGACCACAGCCTGTATGACGTTGGATCTCTGTTAGAATATCCTTGTGGTATCCACCTCAGATTCCTGTCCCCCACAGACCACAGCCTGTAGGACGTTGGATCTCTGTAGACCACAGCCTGTAGGACGTTGGAGCTCTGTTAGAATATCCTTGTGGTATCCACCTCTGATTCCTGTCCCAGACAGACCACAGCCTGTATGACGTTGGATCTCTGTTAGAATATCCTTGTGGTATCCACCTCTGATCCTGTACCACAGACCAAAGCCTGTAGGACGTTGGATCTCTGTTAGAATATCCTTGTGGTATCCACCTCTGATCCTGTACCACAGACCACAGCCTGTAGGACGTTGGATCTCTGTTAGAAAGTCCTTGTGGTATCCACCTCTGATTCCTGTACCAGACAGACCACAGCCTGTTGGTCGTTGGAGCTCTGTTGGAATGTCCTTGTGGTATCCTCCTCTGATTCCTGTACCAGACAGACTACAGCCTGTAGGATTTTGGATCTCTGTTAGAATGTCCTTGTGGTATCCACCTCGGATTCCTGTACCAGACAGACCACAGACTGTAGAACGTTGGATCTCTGTTAGAATATCCTTGTGGTAGCCACCTCCGATTCCTGTACCAGACAGACCACAGCCTGTAGGACGTTGGATCTCCGTAGACCACAGACCACAGCCTGTAGGATGTTGGATCTCCGTGCCAGATATCCCACTTTTTCTAATATATTAATTACAGACTAGTTTAAGACTAAATTATCTATGTAACAGTGTAAAGGGTTTTACCAGTTCCTATCCCCTTACATTAATATTGTATTCAGAAAATTTAGGTATAGAATACCACTGAAGAGTAACAAATAGATAAAATGATCATAGGGTCAGTAAATTTCCTTTTGCTTTCTACATGGACGTACTGAAATTCTAATTAGGTGCCCCTCCTCTTTTGTATTTTGTTGATAAGGATGTGCCCCTCCTCTTTTGTATTTTGTTGATAAGGATACAGGTTGCTGACTAGAAATCAAACAAAAAGTCTGAGAAGTATGATCAACTTTTTTATTACATGCTCCACAATATGAATACATTGTACATCACAAATTACTGCATTATTCTAGAAGATAGTTTGGATTTTCATTGTACTAGAATACACTGTATTACATTGTATTAGAATACACTGTATTATATTGTACACTAATACACTGTATTACATTGTACAAGACTGTATTACACATGTGTTGGAGTGGGGGAACTATCGCACTGATTAAACATACAATAATTACACATAACCATATAAGGGCATGGTGACTAATAGACTGATTCGCCCAATGGAAACCTTTTCATTTCAATATGAAAATTATACAAATCACAATTTTTTCTTTATAAATATTATTAACATCAAGGGTTAATAATATTGAATTAAATCGCTAGTAAAACTGATGCTATACTTAATATAATTCAAACAAAACTAGCACAAAATTTACGTTTTAATAATCATTATTTTCAAATATTTTTTTAAGTTATGTCATCATGAAGACTTCATCTTATTTTATTCAAATCATTTTGAATTTAAATATTGGAGAGAGAGAAAAAATAAGAAAAAAATGGACAATGTCTAAAAGTTTGTCTAAATTTTCAATCAATTTGCATGATTTCTTGAACAAATTCAACATGCAAATGATAAATATTCTCTAATTTAGAAACACATTCTACGTTAACATCACATATATTTTAATTCCTTTTAATTTATCTAAAATGTGTAGGCCTGTGTATGTGACATCAGAGATGAGTATACGACATGTACGGTGGAGGGTAGCTGGATGCACAAACATCAATATCTCAAAATATGGAATGAATACATAATGTACTGAAGGTCAATTAAAAAAAATATCAAATATATCGTAAAGGATTTCCATAATGAGGAAGTCTAAATCATTTGGAAAATAAGACTTACCTATAACGATTTCAAACACAAAAATCATGGATTATATAAATAATTTTAACAGAAAATTAAAAAAAATTCTAGATATTTTTTTTGCGAAATACAAGATACATGTTAAACAAGAAAAAGTTGAGTTATGCATACAAGCAATCTCTCTAGACATATATTTACAAAACACCAATAAATAGGATATCATTTTCATCAACAAAAATCTTCATAAATAGTTATTTTTTTCTCCCGTTATTTACATTTCATATCCTATATTCCCTGAGGTAGTTGTATGAGGCAAGAATACATCAGTCTTGATGTAAATATCAACATTTATACACAATTGTTTATGTTCTGTACTGATAAACTAAATAATTGTTACCGACTGTTGTTAACTCTGTTAACCAGTCAAGTCATCCATACTCCTATTTTCATGCGTGATAATACAACTGAATTATAACTGAGGGTTTTTACCGGTGATTAGCCTGTGTTATTGTCTTAAGCTCAACAGATTTTACCGTTGAAAGTTATTTCTGGTAAAACATTTCTATATTAATTTGCGAATAAGTCCACTGTACCTACTCCAAATCTACAACACTTGAGGAAGGAGAATGGGCATATAACCAGTGACTCCTCTATTGCATGGAAGGAGGGGGGAAAGGAGGTGGACTTATTACTGGTAACAAAGTTGGGCATTGTTGCCCCTTTCTGAGGTCTAGGCCCACCCACTGAGCTCGTGGTCCTGTTTCGTGTAAAAATGTCGGTCAATATTACCCTCTTTCTGAGATCTAGCCCCCCGCCCCCTGGGCTTGTGGGCTTGTTGCAGGTAACCAAGTCAGTCATTATTTAACCCCCTTTCCCTGGGCTTGTGGGCTTGTTACAGGTAACCAAGTCAGTCATTATCTACTGTCATTAATTACCCCCCTTTCCCTGGGCGTGTGGGCTTGTTACAGGTAACCAAGTCAGTCATTAATTACCCCCCTTTCCCTGGGTGTGAGGAGGTCTAGGCTACAAGGGCTTCTCACAGTTAACTAATGTTACCCTTTCTGAGGTCTTGACCCCCTGGGCTTGTTGCAGTTAACAAACAGTAATATTACCCCCTTTCTGGGGTCTAAGCCCCCTGGGCATGCCGCAGTTAAAGCAGCAATATAACCCTACATATGAAATCTAGATTCCATCGGCTTTTTTGACTTAACGAGCAGTTCAATACACATTCATGTCAATACCAACATAAATATTTGTATCAATGTACAAAAGTAGTCTAGAAATACTGTTTGTAGTTTGATTTTTGTTTCTCATAAAATCAAGCAAACCAATAACTGGCATGAGATAGATGAACATTATGAAATGCCTCAGTTTTATTACATAAGATTGCTGTATTCAGAAAAAACAGAGTACATGAAAATTACCAAATTATACACCTAAATTTACAAAGTCTTGCAAATTCTTCCATTGAAAATAATTTGATTGAATTTCATTAATCATAAAAATTGACATAATCTCAAACTGCATGAATATTGAAATCCAAAGTTAAAATAGAATTTTTGATTATTTCATAGAATTGAAACCATTGGTAGAACAAAAATATGTTTGATTTCCTTATGAATAGAATTTTAATTTGAGTAATTTCATAATGAAACAAACATTTTAAAAAATACATTATTTATACACAGAAGTTTCTATTGTTAGCATTATATGACACAGTTAAACACACATGTGGACGAGGTAATAAGCGTCGATAGTAATGCCCATAGTTATCTCCCTTTGGAAATATTTACATGAAATCTCATATTTAACCGAAATACGCTAAGTGCTTATTTTTACACATTAATTGGCGATTAGCAATCATTTACAATGTATGATTACTATAGCAACCGACAGTGGCAGAAAATGTCATATGAACTGGTTCATCGAGTACATTTTAATACAAACCCACACATTGAATATTGGCAGTAGCCAACAGGCCCAGTAATCTCCAAGCACTAACTTGTTACAAGATAAAACGAAACACTGGAATTTGTGTCAACAACAAATAACATTACAACACCTATCACCACGCAATCAACGGGAATCAGGTCTGAGTACTAGTTTTTCAAATTTGTTGAATTTTTATGACAACTGTTGAAAATTATACAGAAGTAGAAGCACATAGACAATGTATTCAGTTTTTTAACAAAGTGTTTTATAGTCAAAATTATTTTAAACAGTGATGGACTTTACTTTGACTTTGAAAATATGAATGGTTTAAGATCACTTAAACTTAAGTAAATGGTTCATGAAGTTTACATTAAAATTTCATAAGAATTGAACCATCAAACTTTGTATTAAAGATATGTTAATTATAGCAATCACTGCTAAAAAAACATTCAATGCAATGGTAGTTCACAGTGGTGACCTTCAAACCACAAAACCAGAGGAACATATCAAATTCTATGCAGGTACTTGGTTTGCTAATTGGATAAAAAAAAAAATGCGTCAAACTGATTTTAAGGTTGATGACAAATTAGCGGTCCCCAGCGCAGGATTTCTACCAGAAAATGTATTGAATGAAACATAGCCTTTAATTTCTTGATAAATCAACAAAAAGCTCAGTAACAGAAAGTAAAGAAAATGTTTGTATAATAATGATCTAGATGAAAAGCACCTATAAACAAAACAAATGTTCTACACTATCAAACTGTTGCATTCTGGACTAAAGTATAACCGCCCAATAGGAGTGTGAAACAGGAAAACCTTGATATAATGCCTCTCTTCGCATTCGTCACCTCGCTTACCGCCAACAAATTTCCATTCCCCTTTTCAATGTTTTCAAAAGATTTCTTTATACATCTGTCTCCTTCAATGTCTTTCCAAACCTTTAACAACAAAATTAGGCTCAACAAATGGGGCAGTTAACAAGGTTTTTCAAAGTATGTGCATCCATTTTGTCTCTTGACTTTTTCCATTAGTCCTGACATTACCAAACAAAAATACAGAAATACACGTATAAGTAGTGGAGGACCTAGTTTTACAATTGTGCTACATTTGAAGAACACAAAACCTGTATATACAACCAATTTTGCAGAATACTGCAGTAATTTGTTGTGATTAAGAAAATTTATTTCCACTATGTAATATATAAAACAAAACAACTAACTATCGGCCATCAGTGAAAATACTGTTAATGCGAAAGAAAAATTATCGGGTTATTTTTAGTCCGGTTATGCAACACTTTGACATTGTAGACATTTTAAAAGCACCTGTCCTTTGCAAGGTCAAATACAAGCAAGGACATCATTAAGGATTAAACTTAAAAAATAAAACATGCATAAAAAAAACAAAAAAACATGATAAGTACACTACACAGTGACCTGTATACAGTATTATCAGCAGAATAGTGTTAATGCCGTCAAATCATAAAGGAAAAAAAAACATGAATTTGCACCATTGATGTAGATAATGACAGTGGGTCGTATGTAAGGTGGATGATGACGATGAAATTCTACCCTCAGATGTAGAGCTTTTTATCAGAACCGAGCTTTATTGAGGTACGTTTGCTTATTTCTCATTAGTAACACTCATTACGGAAGTTTTAGGAGGTGAGCTGGAATCTATGAAACAATGATATCAATACTGCCGATCCAGCAACATAATTGGTCCAAAGGATCCTGATTTGGATTATATATTACAACTGCACTATAAGATACACGTATTACACAAATCAACACTATATATATATTAATTAAGATACAGCCAGCGCCGCTTGACTAGTTGATTTAAACATTTCATTAAACTAAATTACCGGGATATTATAAAACAAAAGCAAATAAAAAAGTTATTGCATTTTACGCTAAAACTATAGTGATACTACTTGCTAAAACACAGAACTACTTCATTGACAGTACATGTGTATCTATACCAACATATACAGAGAAAACAGACACTTTATTTAAAATGTTCTACTTAACGAATTAAACTGAATTTTAAATATGATAAGTTAAATAATTACAGCAGAACCTTGTTTAAAAATTAACTTAATTTATTTTACAACAATTGCAAACAGGTTTGATCAACCTATACTCTTGTTCCTTGTTAGAAAGTTTAGAAACAAACCAAATTATGATTATTAAGGATCTCTGACCCACTGCAAGCAAAATACTAGAAAAAACCACATTTTTTTCATGCATACATGGAATCCAGTTTGAATCCAGTGAAATTCTGCATAGAAATATCGCAAGGTATAGTTTTCCTTTTAGAAATGATTGATCAAAGCTATAGAAATGCTGGAAGAAAATTTCCAACAAACAGCTAGTTTTCGGCAGTGGTACAAGGATCCTTATTAACTATTTTCTATCTGCATTTAGTATTTAAACTTTTTTTCAGCTTAAAATATTTGAAGATTTGTTTTTTGGAAAGGTTTGCAAAAACTATTCAATTCTAGAAATAGTAACAGAAATATGTTAATATCATGAATATAAGAAAAATGTAAAAAAAGAAAATTAAACAAGTTCATTAACTTTGCATCAAAGATATGACCTATGGCCCAGCTATTCAAAGCTTAATCAGTAAAACTTTCAACCAACTAAACTATTTCCAGAATGAATCTGCTAGACAAGGTTCTGCTGTAAGTCATATAAATTCCAAAATATTTATATATACAGCTATTGGGTTCATTGGTAACACTACATTTACAGGGACTGAATTTCAGATAATATGAATGATGAAAGGCTATAGTATTAAATGGATGAGAGAGAAAATACAACAAAAGGAGATTTACTGTCAGTATTCGTATATCAGTGTACTTATATTTCCATGTAATGTTGATTTTTTACAGGTTCCTGTGTCAAGCCATGTGGTAGTGTAACAGCTATTTCTAACAAACTAGAATACAGGGATTTTATAATATTTAGCCATTATCGTAATTTTAAATATAAAAATATCTTTTTTTAAACATTTAATTTCTTTATCATCACAAAAATTACTAAAATAAGTTGCCTCTTCAATAAGTACGCTAAGTGCATGCTACAGTACCAAACTCCAGTAAAAGTGTTAGTAAGAGGTCTATGAGAACCATGTTGTTTTATTGAAATTACTGTATGAAAGAAAAGATGATGACTAAATATGATGGGGAAAATATATTGTTATGCTTCAACTTGATCAGTCATAATAATATGTTTGATGACTTAACAATTCATATTTACAAATATATTCAGGATACATACTCGCGTATCACCATTATGACACCATAGTATTACACAGGCATTTTATTGTAGAATAATAAAAAAAAAAGATTGGAAAACTGCAGCCTGAGGAGTGGATGTTCAAATGAAACATCTGTCCAATAAAATGACCCGTAGCTTGGTGAGACATCCAATCAAATAACCCGTATTTTCCATGGCCCCATCAGAAATATCGTGCGTAACAAAATAATATCTAATAAAGATGATCAGATATTTGACTAGCTGCCTTCAACGAAATGGCCAATGAAGGATGGGAAGGGTGACAACTCTGTATGCTGTAGAAGGATACAATAAGGTTGCACTACACTAAATATTGCAGGATTCAGCTAAATAAATAAACTATGAGTTATTGATGAGTTATCTCCCCTTACATACAATGGAACTTATTTTCTCCAATTGTTCCAGAATGAATCAAATCTGAATGAAATTCAACAGTATTTGGACATGAATTATTTTTTAATATCTTTATATACTTTGTGGCCCCTTTGGTAGAGGAACTGCTAAAGTAATGTCTGTCCAATGGAATGGAGGAATTACTTCATAGTAAGTTTAATATATATGTACAGAATGAATATGTGAATAAACACCCGTTTTATATGCATGTGAAAGGCATGTATTGCAAATTACCTCCACGACAGACTGGGACAAAACAATGTCTGTGGGTAGCAAATATAATAAAAATAAAGAAATAAATAATTCAACAACAATGTACAATTAAACAATGGCCACTTTTTCCTACCACGCACCTCTATATATTCCCTGTGTATCACTGTCTCTCATGCACACAATAAACTGCTGCAAAATGTCTTTTGAGGAGAAATGTCATGAAAACATCTGAATCCCACATTTGTCTTTTGTGGGACACAATCTCTCCACCAAAATACAGCACAAGAAGAACACGACAACAAGGATCGGCCGGACTATTCCTGCTGATCCAAAAACTCACTTTGTGCACTGAATGTCACACCAAGGTTCTCTTATGTTTCCCACAGAACGTCAGATAGACAGAACCTGGTCATATCAACGGCAGCACTAAAATTGTATGGAGGAAAAAGTGACTAAAAGCATTAACAGTTCATAGCAACACGTGTGCTGTCTCGCAAGATGCTGTTTTCTAAGTTCTACAACATATACAAAATAAGGTGATCAATTGTGGGCCTCACGAGCAATGTGGAGGAAAAAGTCCACTTTGTCACTGCAGGTCAAACCACACATGTTACACTTGAAGGGATTGCGGTAGCCATGGTAACCCATGTGCATGGTATACATAACACAGTTACGGAAAGCTATTTCACAATACGCACACTCGTATTTATCCACCTCGTGTCCCATCATGCCAGTACTTTTTGACTTCGGAGTGCTGGTGATGAAAGAACCATGAGCATTGTCTGCAGGAAATCGGCTGTGTAGCGTGTCTAGGTCAGAAGTTGAGGGGAGACTGTGACCGTTCATGCCTCGTTGAAAGTGGTAAGCTTTATTCGACTCGTGCCAGGCACTCATTGACATCTCCATTTCTCTTCGTCTTCCTGTTTCCCTCAATTTTATCTGAGCCATTTCAAGCGCTTTCTTGATATTCAAATTCATCTGTTCTCTACTTCTGCCATTTTCATCATCTGTATCCTTTGCTTCTCCCTCTTTCACGGATTCTTTTCTTTCCATCTCTTCCTTATTCTCTCCTTCAGCAAATTCATTGCACTTTCCATTATTCAGGATGGCAAGGTTTTTATGCACGTCTTCAAAATCTTCAGCATTGTTTTTAACCTCTTTGTCCTCAGGCCTGCCCTCATTCTGATCCTCATTGCTGATGGTTTCCGCACCATAAGCCTCCGAGTCACATTCCTGTCGCGTCCCATGGGCCTCATTGTCGACGTAGCCGTCCGATCCACTGTAGGCATCCTCAACATCGCTGTCTCCAGCCTTCTCTTGCAGCTTCATACAAAGCGTGTCCAGTTTAAAGGCTTTCCCCTTCCTCGACCTTTTCTTTGGTGGTTCGCTTTCATACATTTCCCGTGATTCTTCATGGAGGAGCTCTTCAGTTGGTCTCTTCCTGGGAAGTTCCTGCGATTCTTCCTGAGGGAGCTTATCAATTGGTCTCCTTCTTGGCAGTTCATGTTCATACATTTCTGCACCAGTTGGCATGATGTCATGTCTTTCCAGGAACATATTCCTGTCTTGGGGATATTGGTTGTATCCTTCAGCCAGGGTGGGACTCATTGATGGGGACCTTCGTTTGGTGAGATCTAGAGGAGACGATTCACGATTGACGCGTGGACTGGTTGCTGGCATTCCTGATCCGAATTTGTGCATCATTTGCTTGATGATGTCCTCCCCAGCAGGAGGGTCGGGGACTTTCAGTGGACTCTTCATCCCATTTTTGTAAGCGTCATACGACATCTTCGATAACCCTGCAAAGCCTCCATTTGGACTGTGCAAATACCTGGCCTTAGTTGGTGAGGACCCAACAGGGTATTCCTCGGGCCAGGAAGGAGTGCTAGACTTAACACTTTCAGGTGAAGGGAGCTCCCTCTTAATGTTGAGCGTCGGAAATTTCCCGTCATCAGCATGAAACTTGCTGCCTGGACTTCCAAATTTATGTTTATAGCGATCTTCAAGAAATGCCTCAGGAGAAATACCAATAATTGAGAAGAGATCTCGGTTTTCTGATGCGTGTACTTTCATGACATGACGTAGCAAATCATTTTTGATATCCGAGGCAAAACTACAGAATTTACATTTGAAGAGAGAGTTGGGCGACAGCTTGTGGCCTCCAGGGCTATTGCCCATACCAGGGGTTGATTGCAGTGCAATCTTACGTTGCGCAAATTCTTGAGGTAGAGTTCCGAGTGGAGAGTTCATGGATACTGGTACCAGTGGAGGCGGAGCGTGAAGGCCATTGGGTGGAAACTGGTTTAGTACTGGCCAATACGGCGACATCATCCCGCCGTTCATACCTGCTGGCATACCAGGCAGTCCAACATGGGGCATGTTAAGAAACTGACTGACAAAGGGGTCAAACTTGTCCTTCCTTGGACCCCTTGGTCCACGTGGAGGACCTCTCTTCTGCATCAGAGAGAGGCCAGAAGCCTCTGCGTCAATGCCCTGCGGCAGACTACCGTCCGAGTTCAACACCGTGGCTGGTTTGTGGTTGTATTTGCGAAGGTGAAGTTTGAGACTGTGGCAATATTTTGTGGCGTAGGTACAGTCGGCACATCTATACTGGTACACGTTGGTGTGGGATTTCATGTGGCTGTTCAGCATGGACTTGTTTACACACGAGTAGTTACACTTGTTACATTTGAAAGGCTTTGACCCGAAGTGATTACGAAGGTGATACTCTAGGTGGTGCTTGTATTCCGTGACGAAAGGACAACGAGGACACTGCAGTATCTTGTCTTCCTTGATGTGGCTCCGGGCATGAGACCAAAACTCTTCCTACAAAGAAATATAAACATTAATTAGTTTGGAATCAATTCTATCTTGTTGTGTTACTGATACTGAATGACTCTGCAGCAGCATTAACAATCATTTATAGCAAGAAAGTGTAACAAAACTACTTCTAATTAGCTACTTCTAACTAGCTAACTACACCATACTTCTATTTTACAGAAAAAATAATTACTTGCTTTAACAGCACTTATTATTTATTGTAGCACCATATGAAGAATCAACTAAAGGAAGAGGTCCTAAATTAAGACCATATGCCCTGTTGTTAAATACCATTTTTGAAGAAATTAAAATATGATTTTAATTAAACTATCTTCAGGTAGACTAACTTCAGAAAAACTATCTTCAGATAAACTAACTTCAGGTTAACTATCTTCAGGTACACTTCCTTCAGGTTAACTAATTACAGGTGAATTTCCTTCAGGTTAACTAACTACAGGTAAATTTCCTTCAGGTTAACTAACTACAGGTAAACTTCCTTCAGGTAAACTAACTTCAGGTACACTTCCTTCAGGTAAACTAACTGCAGGTAAACTTCCTTCAGGTAAACAAACTTCAGGTAAACTTCCTTCAGGTTAACTAACTACAGGTAAACTGCCTTCAAGTTAAATAACTACAGGTAAACTTCCTTCAGGTTAACTAACTTCAGGTAAACTTCCTTCAGGTTAACTAACTACAGGTAAACTTCCTTCAAGTTAAATAACTACAAGTAAACTTCCTTCAGGTTAACTAACTTCAGGTAAACTTCCTTCAGGTAAACTTCTTTCAGGAATTATAAAACTTAATCGGGTGATGTTTCATTGAAGAAAACATGACTGATTATCTTACCTTCTCTATTGCTGAAAAGTCACATTGCTTGCACCTGAACACTTTTGGGCGCCCCATGTTTCTTTTGGTCCCGAATCCTTCTGGTGGGTCCTCTGTATGGAAATCTTTGATGTGACGCTTCAATCGTCCTTCTGTTCGGGACTTGTAGTCACAGTGTGGGCACGTGTGCTCAAAATGGCAGGTCATATGCTGTTCAAACTCGCCTTGATTTCTGCCTGCAATTAGAAATTTGTATGCAGGCGAGTTCTAAAATCTGTGAATTAACACATAGTTTGTACATCAGGGTGCGATGTGTTAGGGGTCCCCGTCCCACTGCAGGCAAAAACACTGGAGAAGTCCACTGTAGATGTGTGGGAATACAGTTACTCCCCCTTAATGCCGTATTTAATATATAATTGGCACAGGAATGGGCCATGACCATTGTTTTCACACTCCGAACACTGTTGTTAATTTTTGTTGGGTTTTTTTCATCTTCATTATTTTTTCATAAAAGACAAGCAAGGTATGGTTTTCATTTCAGAATTATTTACCAAAGCTGTAGCCATACCAGAAAAAAACAGTTTTCTATACATATTTTTTGACAGTGGTACGAGCATCCTTAAGTCTGTAAAACAACTCAGGTTTGTCAAGTCAACTTCTATGTTAGGGTTGGATGTCAGCTGTCACATAAGACTGCATTTGTATGGTCTACCATTGTGTGTAATTATACAGAGTGACGTCTTAAGTCTGTATTTATAACATCAATTTTTTCATTAATCCTCCATGTCAAAAAATGTATATATTTACTGTAATGATTCTGTAAAAGGACGTGTATCTAGGAATTTGAAAAGAGGAAAGGAAATTCCATTCACAAAGACCTTACACTGTAACCTGTTTGATAAAATAATCTGTACCTGTCAAATACGGTGTCAGTTTTAAATTGTTGAAATAGATTTCTCCAAACTAGAGCTCACTTCCCTGGTTTAAGTTAGTCAAAATTAATAAGATGTTATTTATGAGAAAATAACAGCAATAAAAAGAGCCAATTTATTTCACCCGTACAGTCAAGTGATGTTTACATCCCCTTATACAACAGACCCCTCCTTTCCCATGAACCACTCAAGTCCCAACAAAACAAAATTAAAGCAAACTGCCTCATGTTAAATTTGGATTAAATCAAGGATAAGTCTATCGCACAGGTACATTTTGTGGTGAAAACTAGGTCATTGTAGTGATAAAAAGATCATAATTTATCAGCACAGTGTATTTTAGATAAGAATGTTTCTTAAACAAATACAGGTAAAGTTTTGTGCTTGAGATTTAGACAGGTTCAAAAAGGCAGGAGTGTCTTTACCTAGGTAAGGCTACGGAATAAAGTCTCGTGTTTTTGACATTTTTGTCACGATAAGGTCACAACCTTTATTTATTTGCGTAGAACATTTATTTTATCATGTTTTGCTGATAAGAAGAGTAAAAAGTTCAAGTGATTATGTGGAAGTGAGGTCACCAACTTCCACTGCAGTTATCTCCCCTGATAACGATCACATGATATTTGGAACAGGACTGACCTCATTAACAATCACAATCGTATTTTTAAACAATGAATGATACGTTGTCAATATTTATTGTTTCATTTGCTGGTGAAAGGTGTATTTGTCTTGTATTGTAACCTACCTATGTGCCAGATCAGAACATTCAAACACCATCAATGATAATCCCACACTTAGAACAACATGTTTTTACACATAAATTGAGGAAAATATTAAAATAGTAACAAAAGTATGGCGACACTGTTTGATATGAATTAATCAGAAATTAGTTTGATATCTTAAAACATTAAATTTATTCAAATTCGATAAATGTCTTTTTTTAAAATTATTTGTAAGGTATAAATTGACGGAGATTTTCCATGTTTCAGTATTTACAAATGTAAGATAAAATTCTTTGAATAAATAAATAAATAGGAAAAATGAGATAATCTTGGTTTGGGGGAAATAATAAAAGACTTACCTGAAAAGCTGCAGAGGTGACAGAAAAAAACACCCTCCTTATTTGGAACGAGATTGATGCTATCTGTGTCGAAACTGCTTCCATCGGAGATGTACGAAGAATTGTTTACATTCAGACCATCATGATCATCATATGGAGAAACTATAGGGCTAGAGCTGTCCTCAAGGTCATCAGTGTCTCTAAGGAAACTGGAGTTGTCAAGATGGTTGCTTTTTTCATGACTATCACCATGGTAACTGGAGTTGTTTAAATGATCATCTTCGTTGATGTTTTCGCCGTAGGTTTTTTTCCAATCCTCTTGGTTTTCTATGAGGGTGTGGTCCTCCGACATCACCTTATCTACCCCATCAGCTATCTGTGGGGACACAGCATCCGCCCTGCAAGTACAAATCATCAGGTTAGTCAACTACTCACAAGTTTTAACTTAAGACAATATTTGGATTGGTTAAAGATAATTATCTTAGTGCCAATATGGACAGTATGCAATACTTTTAGGAGAGACAAGTTTAGCAAAAATCACTGGTAGAATCAGTAAGAGAAATAACTCAAAATACAAATCATAGGTATACAGGAGTCAATAAAGACCAATCATAGCTATACAGTGGATGAATACAGGAGTCTAAAATGACAGTCGTCTTTGAGTAGTGACTTCCCTGTACACAGGGGCAATCAGGGTACGGTATATGTGACACCTGTAAAGTAGGGACACCAGTCTATCAAAGTTTTACTTCCAAGAAAGCTGACAGTCATTTGTACATCTTAATAGACTGGAGCAATCCAGAGAACAGCTAGAAAGCTGGAGAAATCAAGGCGAAGTATGTCATTTAACAGATATCAAATAAACTAAAATGACAAAATAAATTAATGTAAAACATAATTGTCATGATTAGCACTTTTCAAACTAAAAAAAAAAAAGAAAAAAAAAAGAGACTAAAACCACATTTTAAATGACTAATTACAAACTGTTTTTTTTTACTCACACCGAAAATCTGACTATTTAAAGTTACTCTCAAAAAGCATCATGCCACAAAGTTCATTTAGCATTGATGGCAACTGATTTTATTTTCATCAAGGTATAAATAATTGCCAAACTCTATGAATCCATGTAGCTGACCACCACTGTCCCCTCCTATCCCCTGCCCCACCCCCTATTTTCATTCCTGCCCCCATCCCTTCTACAATCCCTGACATGAATGTTTCCTGTTTGTTCCATATTGGCTTGTTAACATTTTTTCATTGAATTACGAAAACCGTTTTTTAAACAAGTGACATTCAAGTATTGGGCATGAAAACAAATATAAATCGATAACACAGTCTGTACATATACTTGGACATTTTGTATTAATTCTAACTTCAAGCTAATTTCAAATACTTTTCCAAAAAACCTTCTTTAACATTCAATAAAATTATTTGAATCTTGAATCTTAGAAGATGCATGCAGAAGATTTTTCAGTTTCATTAACTAGTAAGAAATGAAAATACCAGAAAACATCAAGTTTTATCTTCCAGTAATAATTTAGAATCTCAGTACTTGGATATTGAAGTCTATTTCATTCGCTAATAATATAGATAACATTTTAACATTTTCTTTTATATAAGATTGAAAATTTAACAAATTTACACTGAAAAATCAAATTCTTATAATCAATAGAGTAATCACGTCACGAATAAATAAATATAGTAACCTAACGTTTCAATTCTTATGAATTAGAAAATATTCTTTTACATTTGATACCGAGCTTTTCCATATCTTACTATTTCTTTAACAAACTCTCTTTCTTCGTTAAAACAATAATTAAACAGTAGACTCCATTTTATATGTAAAACAGATAAAATTAAATATATAGTGTATTAACATTTAAAGAAAGGAAATAAACATTAGTATAAGTGCATCCTGTTTGATCTCCTGTGGGGGCCCTGCCACCATAACCACTGTTTCAGTGTGTTCCTTGGAAAATACATAATCGTTACTTTTACCATTGGGAACATTTCATGATTTTTCAAGACATTTACATCAAAGATCATACGATTTATTTATCTTAACATACTCTTAAATTCAGGTCAAAAACAAATTCTGAATTTCCCTTTAAGCAAATTCACAACACTATTTATAGTCTCTACCACTGAACAACACAAACCTAGGTTGTTCATGTGAATTAAGTGGTCCAATAAAGGTGTTTTTTTTCTTACAAATTAGGAAATCCATTTCCTCCATTACTGTACGTCCAGTGGTGTTCCCTTCCCTCCCTGTTAAGTCACATAAACAGTGTACACACAGTGGTTTAGTACTTCAACCTCTGACCCCAGTAAACTGTCCTCCGACCTACCAGGAGTCCCTTATCTAGCTTATCCTAGGTTTTTTAGCTGACCCCACACAGAAACTGTGTTACAAATGTTTTATCAATTTATGACTTCAAGCTTTTAAACACTGATCTATTCACATACAGGTTTTTTCCTGTATTTCGAATTGAATTCTTTATTTCAAATTGAATTTTTATTCTTTATTCTAAATTGAATTTTAATCATAATTGAATCAGATAATGTCTTATTTTATATTAATTAAATATGAGTTATAATTAAAAACTGATTGAATGTAAAATATCTTACATAATGAACAAATAGAATTATTAGTCTTAAAATTTGCCAATTCTCAATTTAACTGCTTTGTATAGAACCTGTATTATTTTCCTGTTGTTAATAAATGTGATCTGGTACTTGATCAGCTCAATAGAAGTTTTTAACTATAATCATTTCCACCAATCAGAGGCTACATTTCAGTCTGCAGTCAAAACCTTAAAGTGTACCCCTCATCTATCACTTTGCAAAGTAAGAAATTAGTCACTTTGAAATTGAGTTTTAAGTTAAGTTTTAAGTTTAATTTTTTAAGCCTTGATGGCCATCTTGAATCTTGTATAAAATTCAAAAACAAAAATGACTGCATCAACATGCTGCAATCTATAAATGTTTATTATTACTCATGTTGAGTTTCGTTTGTACTCGACTAATAGTATTCCAGAAAAAAGAAATAACAATGAAAATCAATTAGAAAGAGTATGAAATCAACGTGTGTTCAATGACTTTGTAATAAATTGTGTTTGGGCTATGATAATAATTATAATAAAAGTATTTGTATAGCATTATATATAATACACAAAATACTATAACACCCTTATAGTATATGAAGGGGGGTTTTGAGTGTAACTATTGTTTATCTCCAAGGAAGGTAGAATTATTTTGAGAGGGATGAAAAGGAAACTGTTAATACTATATATATTGATGACGTTCAGAAACCACAAGTTTCAGGGGAAACATCCGGTCAGATAGATCAGATGTACAGTATAACAAATTAGACTACATGTATGTATTTCAGATATTTCAATTACACATAAAAATATATCATACTTTAAACAACAGTTGAGAAACCTCCCAGATCTGAGGTAGCCTTCTGTTAACACTAAAGGAAGAAGAGAAACGGATGAGATGTATTAGATTTTCCAATAATCCAAGAAATTTTCAAATAGAAATGAATAATGATGGTTTTTTGTAATAAAGCATTAATGCAGAATTGGTAACATTGAGTCAAATATGTAACATTAATTGACAAATTTTATACAATCATCTTTTAATTCATTGATGCAAAGGTGATAAATTGCCTGATAACTTAACAACCTGAATTCCTACATACTGCGATATTTTACAGAACCACCTGGTAACTTCACTGCCCGAATTCTTACATCTTTTACAGAACTACCTGGTAACTTCACTGCCCGAATTCTTACATCTTTTACAGAACTACCTGATAACTTCACTGCCCGAATTCTTACATCTTTTACAGAACTACCTGATAACTTCACTGCCCGAATTCTTACATCTTTTACAGAACTACCTGTAGAAGCATACACTGTACCTGTATATCTTCAGATTCCAGTCGTCAACTGTCAGTAAGTATCAAGAATATACAACAAAACAACTGTAGTTTTCCTTTTACAGTTTGAGCCAGCATTTGTGTTCCAATCCCTACTCTACTATATCGGCAAAACTATATACTTTTTTACTGTCCATGCGAAGACCGCTAATACCTGGCCGTATGGATTTTGTGGTCATTTCCAACTGACCGCTACCTGTCCAGATCACAAACTCAGGTGTATAGAAGTTCAAGTTGATACCTGCCTACACAAACATTTTATCCTGTTTTTTTATTATCCACTTTTTCGGTGGAGTGTAATAAAATCCTTTCACAGAAACCAATGATTGTGTATAATCAATCTCACTTTTTTCCTTTAACCAATAAAATAAAATCCTTACAGTAAGAGGAAATGAAAGAAAAGCAACATCTGGATAGTTGAATGGCTTTTTGTCCCTGTTGAAAAAATATTTACGATAGTGATTTGATGTTGTTCAAAGCGTAAATGAGATTTTTTATCATGTCGCTGAATACACTTATAAATAATCTTCGCAACATTTTGATAGTAAGCTTCTATAACAAAAAAGTTGGGGTATTGATTGCGTACTAGCCATGTGTGACCTCTGTCCCTGGTCCTATGATAACAAGAACACCATTCAATATTTTCTTTTCATCTAGTTTGTTTATTGAAAAACGGCAGCTTAAAAAACAGGCTTGGTCACTTTCAGTATAAATGACGCACCGGCCCATAATACCGTAGGTTAAAGGTAAAATTGAACTGGTAATATCCAGAGGTTTAAAATCTGCAGTACAGGGGATCATATTAAAGATCATATCAAAATATATATATATATGTTGCACTTAAAAGACTTGCTAGATACTATAGAAATAATTGAAGGATTTATTATCGTAAATCTTGTTGTTTTAAGAATGCTTATTAAATTATAAATGTTTCCTCTTCCTTGCTATAAATTAATTTATTAAAACATGTCACCTTAATTGGATGTCCAGAACAGTGAATAGAGATAATTCCAAAAAATGTTATTAAATATTCGCCAATCACACTCATTTCCAACCTCGGAGTTGTTTATTGTACTCAACGACCCATAGTGGTGAAAATTAATCAATACCAAACAGGAAATATGGACACACCCGATGACAGACTCCCAAACATACAAGTAAAACTCACCTCCACCAAACATTAACACGATAGATTTTTGTTGACCAAACCTAAACTGTACATAATGCATCTATCTTCATGGAATGGTGCTTAAATCCCTTTTTTTTCTTATTTTTTATTTATTACATGTCTTAAATATGCTGGTAGATGCACTTACAATATATTAATCTGCCAATCAAATTATCAAACAAAAATACTGTTGTGTGTCACTTTTTTTGGCTTATAAATATTCTTATTTATCAAACTACAAAACTTTTGTTAAAAGCGTAAAAAAATCAATGCCCCCACATCAT